GATATTAATAACATGAATAATGTATTCAATGTTGAAAAATAATTAGATAAAATATTTAATAGTTTTGAAGTAATAAATTATAATAAAAAATGCAATATTACACCTCATAATTCTCTATAACAAAACTGTATATTACATTAGATATTTACTGCGACAAAAAAATTTTCACAGATCCATATTTAATCGACCCAAAGTCGAAATTTACAACTCCGACAAATTGGCTATGAAAGCACGGAAATTAAGGCTAGTAAAACACTCGTTTGAAACATTAGTATACCATCATGCCAGTATTACACACTCCCTCTCTCTAAATTTTGTAGTTTCAATATAACACGAAATATTTGAAACTGGATAAAAAATCTTTCCAAATATTTTACAAAGTCTGCCAAGAAGTTGTGTAATACAATGAAATTTGAAGTTTACTAAATTGGATTTATACTTTCAATTTATAATTCTAATTCATTATCCAAGTTTTTCCAGTCAACGATTGCTGAAATGAATTTTTTCAATTTATTGTAAAAGATCAATTATTTAGTTCTCTATTTTCTCCTACACTTTCTCATTTTATATTACGTTGGGATATTACTTATAAAAGATTTATATCTTGAATAAATTACCACTTCAGACATCTTGGAAATGAAACAATTAAATTAAACACCACAAACATCTTACACGACTATTTTCATTTCCATCTTCTATTAATACTATTATATTATTCAGTTAAAAATGATAAGATATAAAAAATATACCAACTAATAAACATTATCAATGTTCGATATCTTATTGACATATTAACTCATTCATGTAATATGTTGTAAGCATATTGACAGCTAAATATTTGTTTATTCCAAATAGATTGATAACTTACTTGTTTTTATCAGCAAAAATTAATCTTTTGCCACTGTATTTATCATAATATTCACAATTGTTTAGAATGTCAGTTCTAGTTCAATATAAATATAATATAAAATTTGGTGGATAAATATTAATATTCGTAATTACTCACCACAATAATAAAAAATCAATTATGTATGTCCAAACATCTGCAAAAACAATAAAATTATTAATTACTAATATTCACATGAACAAATGAATAATAAATTCATAACTATATACATATATACATGCACAATGCAACCACTTGTGGATTGTCGGTTAGAGCACGTTGTTCAACGCAAAAAAAAACAAAACAAAAACGCTGCGCAATTTAATACCTACCTGCAGCGAAAATATTCGTTTCGCTCATTTTGACATAAACATCTTGTAAATGATAAGTTAATTTTAATGACAAATCCTAATTGTTGTTTGCTTCTTAATTGTTATAAACGATGGTTTTATAACTAAGAAAATATGTATAAACGCCATCAGAAGTTTGGTTACCTCAAACAATCGAATAACACCGATGATTGTATGGATATACATCATTGAACTCACCGAATTTTCCTTATAATTGCTTTATCCATGGAATAATACCAGTAATTATTTAATTATCACAAAAATAACTACACAATTACACCTGAAAATTAGATAACTATTACCAAACTTTGTAAGAATAATACACTCTGTGCAATGGTTTCATCCAAGCCACCAGCGCCACACGGTAAGTAAACGCATCAACTTTAGAAGATCAACTAGTACACTAGTTTATCGATTAATAATACAAATTAGTTATCGACAAACGATAAGCACATTCACAATGAATATTGAACAGTAACGCCATCTGATGGATATATTTTGACAAAGTAAATTATTAAAGAAATGAAGTCCAAGTTTTGAAAGTAAACTGATTTCTAATTTAAATGTCATGAAATTTACCAGTAAACTAATGTCTTTTATTTAAACTATTTAGTATTTTACATTGATTCAATTATTATAATTTTTATTGACAAATCAAAAAAATAGACATCTTAATAAATATGATAATCAATCAGAAATAAAATTTACAATTCGACAAATGACGCAATATTTGATTATTTACTGAGGATGATGAGATGTGGGATGTGGTAGTTGATGACTTGACAAACAAGATGAGAAATAGAAAAACATTTACACAATGGGATTATTACAAGATGACAGAGGTATATGAATAGAATATTATTTTTGTAATAAAATAATAATCAATGTTGTACATTTTTATCTACTGTATTATTTAATGTTTCTATTAGATCACATCAGAGTATGCCTATGTAATTGCTCTAATTCTAATGAGAATGGTTGTATTTAATTAATTACCAACATTCTCTCTATGATTATCTAAACATTGATGTATATTTAGTCATTCGAGCGAGAATTTGAAGCTTTTCATTTAAAATCCTGGTTGGACATTTAAATAATCTTACTTTCATTATCAATGAACACGAATTAAATGTACATATCAATGACAGTAAAAGTTTATCAAACTCAGTGGCTATAAAGTAACGTCATTGGGGGCTCGACTGGTCTTCAGAATATGTGATATCTGCTGGTTCGTTTGCATGCATAGAATTATACATATATGTATATCAAATCTTAAGACTTACAGCACTCTAATTTATTTTTAAAAAAAGAGCAATATAGGTTTTATTGAAAGTTAATTAATATTTGCTCTTGAAAGCTTGCACATAAATTTCATAAATACACTTGTTTATTGATTCTGATAATATTTTGTAATTTTCTTACACTTTTGACATATGTCAACAGAAAAATAAGACAAACATCTATAATTTACATAATTATGAAATGCTATAATCATTTAATTACTGTAATTTTTCCATATTATTATCATATTATTTCTTAATAAATCTTGAGGCATTCAACTTGACTTAATTAAGAACTAATTACAATATTCAAAATAAATTTAATTCGACTGTCAATATGAGTTCACTCTAATCACGAATATTACATTTTTAGAATTTGATTGTTTATTTGATGCCAAAAAAGTTATATATATGAAACATGATCAAGCAATCAAGTATGACCACAAATTTTCCATCATACTTTCAAACTTGATCAAGAAGTAGTATTTATGAAAAACTGGAATGAACTGGTTCACTTGCAACGTTATTTAGTAATGATATTTATGTTAAAATGTTATTATGATTAATTCAGTTAAGAAATGATTATATAGGAAAACTTTGTTGAGAATTCACTTTTTTAATGTATACATATTACAAAACTTTTTCCTTGTCTGAATGAAACCTACTTTATAGAGAGGAAATTACCTTAACAATAAAATTGTATTTCAAGAGAAATCTTTTGAAAGAAAAAAATGTTATTCGACTTTATTCAATGAACAAGAAATTATGATCAAAAACTATTATATTTGATTTTTTACGTTTCTAATAATTTCGTTAGATTCTTTTATTAAAGCCAAGGGCACATATTCCCCTTTTGAATCAGAAAACTTGATAAAATGGTTGAATATATCTAAAAAATTTTTATTGATTTTATAAAACCACCTTTGTTACAGCTGTAAACAGATAAAATGATTCACGTGTTTACGTAAAATCATTGAAAGCAAAGTCGAATTAAACGTAATTTATTTTTGTTTCGAAATAGCTGTTATATTGATAATTGTATTGCCATACGTCAAACAAGACGTAAATAAAACATTGACGTTTGATATTGGTGTAATGTTTGAAGAATATACTCTTAAGAATTTTTGTAGACGTTTCAAATTATTAACTAATCTTACTACTATAGTTTCTTTTTATTTGAATAACATTTATACATTGTAAGGAAAAATTTTGTCAGTTGATGATCTGCAAGTATTGAGAAGAATAAAAAAAAAGCAAAATTATTGTTATTCCAAGAAGATAAAGTGATAATAATTTGAAATATAATACGTAATCAAATCATCGAGAACAGTATCATTTTTTTATCTTATAAAACTTGCAATTATCAAGTTTAGACTGTAAACGTCGATTGGACTCTAGACCCGGTGTGAATATCATCTCGTTGAACTTATTGTAAAGAGTTCATCGATATTAGTATTTTACATGACCCCCCAGTCACTTAGACATATGTCAGACGTATTTTGATATAAAAATCTTTTTTTATGTTTATCTAATTTTTTTTTTTTCAATTAATTACTCTTTTAATCATCAATAACCAACCATGATGATGCAAAAGTTCAAATATTTGCACCCAAAAAAAATTTTAATTACGTTTGTTATCAAACTTCTGTTTGGAAAGATGAGGAAAAAATTCCGGTGTATTATCTTGATAATAGCTGTTCAAAAATTATTACATTATCTTAAAATTAATTTGTTGCAATAATTATTCAAAAATTTTATTATTCATGACATTATTTACTTCAAATGATTTTGAGATTGCTTACTTTATGTAATATTATTATTTATCATTAATTTAGCAATAATAGTTGAGTAATTACCACTTAAAAATATAAACATTTTTCTAATCTATGATTTCAGTTTGAAACATCTCGCAACAAGGGTTGGATATTGCGTGTGATATAACATACAGATCCGTTATGACGGAATCCTAAATATTATCTATATGATACGTATGACGATCAAAGTCTTGTGATAATTAATTTATTTTTTGTCGTCAAATTGTTTACATAATAATCGACGAGCCCACAAAAAAACAATTCAACAAGATAAAAAAAAATCCTTTTTTAATATTTACTTTAGAACTTCTGAAAGTCAATGGAATTATTTGATGGTCTACAATAAATAATGATTAAATTCAAATAAATGTATGATTATCACCAATTTTATGTCAAACTTATCAGCTGCATAGCCTCTAATCACATAATTAATAAATAGTTTGAGATTGGAGTATTTATGATTTGATAGAAAATAAAATTCAAGCTAGAACTGAGACATTTAATTAATCTATGGAGGCAAAAGAAGGAGAGAGATTTAAGACAAGTTATCAAATGTAAGTGGATATAATGTCGACAAGTGCGGTGTGGTTCAGCGGGTTTGCAAAAATAGAAGATCACGAGGGGGCCAGTGGCTTTCGTATAAAACCAGCTGTGGTCTTACAGTTGATACTTATTTAGTACATCGCACTTGAATTTGTAGAGATAATATGAAAGGTGTGCAGTTTGAAATTTATCAAGATCAAGACAACAATTAATACAGTTATTCAGTAGACTTAAACCTAGAAGAAAGGAAATTCAAGAAATTGATTAGAAAAACATTGGACTATTAAAGTGAATTTGTGAAATAAAGTTGCTCTGTTTCATAAACAATTTTTCCAAGTGCAATAATAAACAAGATCCTGAAAACATTTAGCGCCTGAATCATTGATCAACATCCCCACTAGATTATTTCTAAAAGGGAAACACAACAACCAATCAGCTTTTTACATTTCCGGAAAATATTAAATCATAAAGGAAACCCCTCGACCCTTGGACTGTGATCTCTTTCATCAGCGAGTATATAATAAAACAGATTGATTGGCAAAATGACAATACTCGGGTGGAACGTTGCCAGGCGATCAGTGATCGATAAAGAAATACGATCTTTATTAAACTTGAATCAAATAACACGACATTATAATACAGTTAATCAACAATCATTGACATGTTCAAATGTTCTTTGTATCACTGACGCTGTTCTCTATAAATCAGTTGTTAAACCGCGAAATTTTAGCAGTTTAACTAGTAAACTTATTAATAATAAATACAATAAATTACATAAGATGCCATACTACATAGACAAATTTTATTCACAGTAAGTTTTATTATTTAGTTACAATTTAGTTGAGACTAGTGTGATGTATTTTAATTATTTATTGCATGTACTCTAGATATAAACGTAACATAAATTCGATATGCTTCTGTTATATAGTGTAGATTATATGATCTAGTTTAACTTTCTCTTCATTGAATAATTGAGAACATAGAGCCGGTTTTGTAACACACTTATTGCTCATTGTTGATCATGGTTTCCATATATGAATTTTCTAATAATTGTTATTTGATTCTTTTCATTCCAGAGGTCCAATAGCGGCTGAAACACCAAAAATAAAAAGTCATTTTGGAGATGTCCATAATACTATTGCTGGAACTCCAGTTATCTCTAATTCATCTGTACCACTTGCACCAAAGGTCTTGAATTACATAGAGGAATGTGTGAGACTTTGTGAACCGGATTCAGTATATATTTGCGATGGAAGTGTAGAAGAAAATGAGACAATGTTGAAAGCTTTGCAGAAAAATGGAATAATATTACCTTTACCGAAATATCAAAACTGGTAAATATCATTCATTGTTTTGATAACAATCAGATACATTGAAAAAGGTTCATCATTTATTGATTGACTATTCATAAATATTATTGAGAATAAGATCGAAAAATAATTTATTCAGTGATCAGAGAATTTTATTTTAAATATGAATTTTAAATCGTATTTAAAATGACATTTGAAAGGTAGTCTGTTATTTGAATTCTATTAGGACAATAGGGCCCAGACAGAATTTCGTTGAAAATATTTTTGCAGGGATACATTGACCTGGGACCCAGGGAAATTACCTGCAATTACATACTAAAGCTTAACCTAACTAATTATACCATTGAAAATATCATGTCTGACTAGAAGATATTCAAAATTCAACCAGTCCTTTGTCCTTTATTTTGTATTTATGCTTCATAGCTTTATAAACACCTTAAAAGTTATAAAAAAATTTCCTAGTCTTGTTTTACGGTACATTTATTTGAATAAAGATATATACTTTTCTGGACAAGATCTTTAGGTCATTTATCATATTCTCAATGAACACAAGCACAATTTATAAAAGTATTCTACTAAACTTTTTAATTTAAGTGTTAACAATAATTTTATTTTAATGATTTATTAGCTGGTTGGCAAGAACAAATCCTGCAGACGTAGCTCGAGTAGAAAGCCGTACTTTCATTAGCACTGAAACCAAAGAAGAAACAATTCCAACTCCAAAAGAAGGAGTAAAAGGAACCTTAGGCAATTGGATTAGTCCTAATGATATGCAAGAGGCAATCCGTCAAAGATTTCCTGGCTGTATGAAAGGTAAAATAATTTTTCATATTTAATTGTTTCTCTTTGAATTCATTGTTTTTTATTTTAAATATTGAATATTGTTAGTAGTTATTTTAGTTGGTCTTTCGATGAATAATATTTATTTAAATATTTTCAGGTCGTACAATGTACGTGATTCCATTCAGTATGGGCCCCGTTGGGTCACCGCTCTCAAAAATCGGAATTGAAATCACAGACTCAGCTTACGTTGTCTGTTCTATGAGGATAATGACCCGAATGGGATCTCAAGTTTTAGATGTTCTAGGACACGAAGATTTTGTAAAATGTTTACATTCAGTTGGTGTACCTAGTAAAGATTCCAAAGTTTCAATCAAACCCACCTGGCTTTGTGACCCAGAAAGGACTATTATTCTTCATAAACCCGCTAAGAATGAAATAGTATCTTATGGGAGTGGCTACGGAGGTAATTCTTTGTTAGGGAAGAAATGCTTCGCTTTAAGAATTGGATCTACAATTGCTCGAAAAGAGGGGTGGCTCGCTGAACATATGTTGGTTAGTATTCGAAAAAAAAATTTTTTTTTCTTACCTCTTCAAGTCTTAAAAAAATATTTGAATTTGAATATTTTATTTTAAATCGATATTGATTTTATTTAAATAATGACAAAGCAACACTGAAATAACAGAATCCCGAAAAACAATATTTATTCAAAAAAACATTTTTAAATTGATTAAAAAATAATGGAAAAATTAATAAAAAATATATTTATTTTTAGATTTTGGGAATAACAAATCCTAAAGGAAAAAAATATTATATCGCAGCGGCTTTTCCAAGTGCTTGTGGTAAAACAAACTTAGCAATGATGCAGCCAACTTTAAAAGGCTATAAGATTGAATGTGTAGGCGATGATATTGCATGGATGAGATTTGACAAAAAAGGAAAATTACGAGCAATTAATCCAGAAAATGGATTTTTCGGAGTTGCTCCAGGCACTGCTACTTCAACTAATCCTAATGCTATGAAAACAATTTTTAAAAATACTATTTTTACGAATGTCGCCTTAACAAGTGATGGTGGAGTATTCTGGGAAGGAATGGAGAAAGAAATAAATCAGGATGTACAAATCACCGATTGGCATGGAAACCCTTGGTCAAAAGATTCTAAAATACCCGCAGCTCACCCTAATTCTAGATTTTGCACTCCAGCTGATCAATGTCCGATTATTGATCCAGCTTGGGAAGACCCTGAAGGAGTGCCAATCGATGCAATTTTATTTGGTGGACGTCGACCTGAAGGAATACCTCTTGTTTATCAAGCAAGAGATTGGCAACATGGAGTATTCATCGGAGCTTCTATGAGATCAGAAGCAACTGCAGCTGCAGAACACAAAGTAAGATTAAAATTCAGTTTAAAAGAAAAAACATTTATTTAAATTTATTAATTATAATTCAAAATGAAATGAATAATTTATGATTTTTTTGATTTACAGGCTAAGGTTATTATGAATGATCCATTTGCTATGCGACCATTCTTCGGCTACAATTTTGGTCACTACCTGCAGCACTGGCTTAGTATGAAAAACGCATCAAATGCTCAACTTCCGGCTATATTCCACGTCAACTGGTTTAGAAAAGACCAGAGTGGTAAATTTTTATGGCCAGGCTTCGGAGAAAACTCTCGAGTCCTCGATTGGATTTTACGTCGAGTGGAAAATGAAGATATTGCTGTTGATTCACCAATAGGTTTTATTCCAAAAGAAGGCTCTCTCAACTTAGATGGATTAAATAATAATATTGATTATAAACAACTGTTTAATTTGCCAAAACAATTCTGGGAGAACGAAGTGAAAGAATTAAAAGAATATTTTGATAACCAAGTGGGCAAGGATCTGCCTACAGCTATTACGACTGAGTTACAAACTCTTAAAAATAATATATCTAAACTTACTTGAATAATAATTTAATATTTAATACATAATATATTTTATAAACTTGATATAATTTAATATTTATAAACATTCCAATTAGGCTTGAAATTTAATATATTTTATCTATGTAAATAGATTTTTGTAAATAGATTTTTTAAGAATATTTTTTGTGAGTTATTTTGAATCCTAATTATTATACATAATGCATGAATTTAGAAAAATATTTACATAATTATAATGAAGTCATCGATGTTGTATTAATAATTCTACCATCACCAAAGATGTTATATCAACTGAATTGTTTCAGTGTTTAATGTCACAGTAATCTTCTCTTTAGTAATATAGAGTGAAAGCTTTGGAAATTTGATCCGTTTGTAAACCGATAGAACGGTTGAGTAAATCACAAAGAGAAGTAGAAATGACGGTACCATTCACACTGTAATTGAATATTTTAACAAAATATTACTTTTCATCTTATCTTTCCATTCGGATCATAAATCCTTTTTCTATTCTAGTTGTCAACAATGATTTGAAAGATTTTTTTTTTATATAATAAAAACAAAAAATATTAAGAGAATAAATCATGATTTATTTTTTGCCAGTCAATTCATTATTAGTGTTACAATAAAACAGTCAATATAAAATAATGGCTTGATATATCATAGCACAGTTTTTTTTAGATAGATTCATTATCCACAACTTTCAAACAGTCTGCACCATTGATAAGTATAAAAATTTTAGCAATTTATTTAATATTACAGTATAAAAAACCTTAAAACTGAATTCACATCTTTAACATAAGTCAAAAATACTGAGTATCGTTGTCATTCTAATGAAATTCTGCAAATCGACTTTTTCACCGTAGTATTTCTCTTATCATCTGAAGACAAATTTTGATATCTTCACAGTCATTAATCATACGTTCCATCCTGAAAAAATTAAAATATTATTATAATTCAATTACTTTAAATCTTGAAATGAATTAAAAATTTTCAATACTTGAATAAATAGAATCTTTAATACTAGATGAGTAAAACTATCAACTTACTTCTCTGCATAAACCTCCAGGGCTGAATGAGAAAAGTTTCCTTTAATCAAAGCTTGCTTGCAAAAATGAATAAGATGAGCAAAACATTTTTTGGAGGTACTGTCTTCATTCCATACCGGTAGATTTTTTGTAATAGCCCAAGCTGCAAACACGTATTCCATCAATGAAATCCAGTGCTGTGACTGCATCAATGTATTTCCTTGATCCTTTAATGCTTTCTATAGACAAACAAATAATAAAATATTAGAATTTCATATTACTGACTTTTTTACATCAATGAAAAATTAAAAAAATAATTATATTTACCAAATAAGCTTCTAGATGTGAACAGGCACGTAGATAAGGAGAAATAATATTAAAATTTTGAATACTATCTGATATATTTTGGTGAAGAGATCTTAGTTTCTCTTGAAGAGGATTTGTATCAGCAGGTGGAATAATTTTCATTACTTCTTCTCGTAATGAATTATTTAAAGACAAAATACCTTGCTCTTGTCTAGAAACTAGATCCATAATCACTTTAACAAGCTGCTCTTGGCTCAGCCCTTTCAATCCATTACCTAAACTATTCCCATGAAATTGATTTTCATGAAAAGGCAACATTCTATTTTTCTTTTCTGGAGTAGTTAACATTGATTCACTATAATCGTCAGATAATTCAAGTCTTTTTCTAAATGATCTATGTTCCCTCAACATAATGGATGAATGAAGTTCAGAGTCACCTTTGGTTGGTGTACGATCTTGTTGATTGTAACTGAGTAAACTATTCCGTTTAGAGTCACATTCTGGAGAATAAATAATTGTTTTACTTCTACGTCCACGTTTTCGAATGACTAATTCATCAGGACTTGATGTAGCTACACTAGAATTCCACGGACTACTCATTCTGTCTCTAACTTCATGATTATTATTTATATTATTTGGACTAACAAGAGGAGATCCTAAAGACACCATTGATAGCGACATGTCAGGTATAGGAGCTAACGCTTGACGGCTTCTGCGTCTCTGTCTTTGCCATAAATCTCCAGGACGAGTCGTCATCTTGTCCTATAATCAATGTAAACACACAAATTTAATATAATCACTTCAAGTTTATATCATCACCAAAGTTTTGTCAGTTAGAAAACAGCACTACAAACCAATTTTCAATCATGAACGAATCACTTTAATACCGAGTGTCTTTAGAACGGCTCCCAGATGCACTACTCTATTGTCAACTTCATAACGTAAAACATCAACACCTGACACAGCAATAGACTTTATTTGGCGGGAAAAATGTCAGAAATAACGGCTGGATGTTCAACAGATAATAGCGCTTTGGCGGAAAAAACTGTTCTGTTATTGCGTCGTTACTTCTCTATTCGTAGTGAAACGTTATTTTTCCAGTTGCTCCATCTGATTTCAAATTTACATAAAGGAACTAAAATACAAAAGCCGGTACTCCGTCGGTAAAAAAGATATCTTTTTATTCTATCGGGATAATTAATGATGCGTATCAAAACAATTCCAATGGATTTTTAATTATTAGTTTTATCAATTATAGTAATAAATATCAAAAATCGAGGTATCTTTGATTAAAATCATAAATGTAAAAAACTGAAAATTTTTGAAGAAAAAAAAATTATTCTGTATTAAATATATTATAATTTTTTTATTTAATAAAATATTTTTTTCTAACTTTAAGAGTATTAATTTATTTTGTTTATATTTTGTTAAACAAAATGAATATTAAATATTCTTACTTATAAAATTAAATTTTTGAATTTAAGTTCATATAATTAGTTATAAAAATGTGGTGTAGTGGCAGCACTATCGGGCAATATTGTTGTTGCAGTTAACTTTTGCTAGGTAGAGACACTTTTGTTTGCTTCATTCAGTAGACAATTGATGTCTTTGAGAAATGAGTGAATAGTACAAACCGCCGTAACAAAATCGCATGGCTAGAAGTTCCAAATATCTTTGAAGTGCTCATTTTAAAGAGCCTGAGGGCTCCTAGATTACTTTTTCACGATTTTACAAAAACTAAACTGGTATCAACAACATCATTAATCATTTGATATTATTAGAACAACTCTAATTGTCACAACACTTAAGCAAAAAGAATACGAGGATCCAAAAGTGGATAAGCTTTCAAAGTATCAAAGGATACATCCAAAATGACCAACGAGACGCGAGACGCCGTCAGCAATGTCGAGACTGAGTTTCTCGAAATGAACTCTCAAGAAGCTTGGATTGGTTTTTATCAAGTAAGTATATAAAAATGCAAGTAATATTTTACTATTTAATGTGACTCGCCCTTTTAAACCCTACAGTTAGCCATGATTGAATCTACATATTTTATCCTCGTCATTGGTTTTGCTAAATTTTTTTATGTAAAAAAATATTCGAAGAACGATGACAATTTGTTATTATTTATTTCCTCAACAATTAAACGGATGATGACACCGATTCAATTGAATCTCATTTATTTAATCTAATTACAGGTCATCTTAAATTGGATTTGAATCACTTTTCGCTTTTTTCAATACAGAAAAGAATATAAATAACTAACAACCGGAATCTTGATATTTATGGTTCATAAATTAATCTTGAAAGCTTTCAATGCGTAGCTAATTGTAATTATTCATCTGCTTTATATAGCAATGTTTTATACTAGAATACATATGCATTTATTGAAAACTAATTTCTCTTGAGTTATTATTAATTATTTACAGTTTATTAATTTTTCTCATAATTATTCTAATTATTGTTTTATTCGTTACCATATTTCATGGTGTGATCTACACAATTTTCTTGTCCGGTTGTGTGGGTGTCAACAACATGTAATCATCGTATTAATTGGCAGGAACACAATACATGCATCCACTTTGGTCGTTTCGTAGAAAAAAAGATTATATATTTATATTCATCTCTTCATCATAATTACTACCATTATTATTTTATTTTTCTCTTAAAATTTCTTGTAATATACTAATTTTTTTATAATAATTTTATCTTTAAGAAACAATTATTTGTTACAATAATAATTAATTATTTTCGTCTCATTTCAGCATATTCGTAATGAATGCAGTGATTTTGACTATGTCTGTGAGGAGTCTAAGAAGCCTCAAAACAAGACTCTTAATAGATACAGAGATGTAGCACCTTATGATCACACCAGAGTGGTATTAAAAAAAGGAACATGTGATTATATTAATGCTAATCTTGTTAAGGTAATTGTTTATAACATGTTTAGCTTATTGAATGTATTTTCATGATTGGACTTGATATCATAAATGATTTATAAGTAAATAATAACTAATCATAAATAATTTTAATTATTATAATTTTTTTTAAAGATGGATCGAGCTCACAGACAATACATTTTGACTCAAGGCCCTCTTCCATGCACAGCTGGTCATTTCTGGCTCATGGTTTGGGAGCAGAATTCAAAAGCAATTCTTATGCTTAATAAAGTAATCGAAAAAGATCAATTAAAGTGTCATCAGTATTGGCCCCTTGGAAACTCATCAAACAATAACTCTATGACATTTTCTGACGTTAATATGAAAGTAGATTTCGTCAGTAAAATTCAATCTTCAGACTATACAACTTCTACATTAAGGTAATATATTAAAAAAGTTACAACAATTTCTCTGAAAGCAATTTTGTTTGAATTTGTTAAAAATAATTCACATGATTATTTTCATAACACAATTTATTGATAAGAAATTTTTTATTAAATATATTGCGACCTTACTGATCCCTTTGGGCATTTAATTATTTATCAACATTTTTGTTAAGTGCAAAACAAAAAGAATTGCATGATAGTTACACAATATATTGTTTGCGCAATCGTCATTGTCACGTAATAAATTGTCTCAAACTAATTATTATTCAAATGTAATTTTTAATTCGACGTATTTTGCTTTTGTTCTTGGTTCATGCAATTTTAACGGAATAAAAAAAGACTGACAGATTTGGATACAAATGAGAGTAGAGAGATTTTACATTTCCACTACACAACATGGCCGGATTTTGGAGTACCACAAAGTCCAACTGCTTTTCTACGTTTCTTAGTTGATGTTAGAAAATCTGGTGCTCTTGATTCCAATGTTGGACCACCAATTGTTCATTGCTCAGCTGGAATTGGCAGATCAGGAACTTTTTGTCTTGTTGATACATGTCTTGTTCTGGTAATTAAGATTGAATTGTTTTTTTTTACACCATTAACTCAAATAATTTTCAAAAACTGAAATTAAACAAATCCCTCGATCAATAAGAGACTTAATTAAAAATAAATTTACAGATTGAAAAAAATGGACTTAACTCAGTTAATATCAGAGGAGTTCTTGTAGAAATGAGGAAATCAAGGATGGGGTTAATCCAGACTCCGGATCAACTAAGATTTTCTTATGCTGCCATAATCGAGGGAGCAAAGCAATTGCCTTCCAATAACGTGGTAACTCATACCAATTCACAGCAGAACTCTGCTTTCAGATATATTAATTTCATTTCTTAATCATTACTTATTTATTTTATTGAAAATACAGTTGAATACCAGATATTATTTGTCGTTCACTAACGTAGAAAAAATAATGTGAAAACATTGTACTGCTGTGTTATTACAAAAAGTATCAAATTGTTGCTAACAAGAGTTCTTCTTTCTTCATAGAACGTTGACAGCAACGAAATAGTGAATCATTATGACGTTGTAACCAACGACATGTTAAATAATTCATTAGTAGAGGATGATGATGAACCGCCACCCCTACCACCCCCAAGAGGAGATTCTTTAACAAGGAGTATGATGTCTGATTTAACACCTAGCCCTGATACAGAAAATGGTAATTTAGTTTTCTTCATTTTTCTGTTCTTCATCCATACAAAAAAAAAATTAATACTTTTATTTAATGGTCGGTGAAATTATATTTAAAGAAAATGGAACTGGTCCTCCAAATAAACCATTGCCAATGGAGCCACAATCAACAGCAGAACATAATAATAAAAATTCATCATTGAACAATACTAATAATATTCATGAAAATAATATTAAAGATATCATGAATGAGAAGAATAACGATAATGATAATTCATTATTCATAAATAGTTCTTCACACGGTGATTCTTCTGATACGTGAGTAATTGAATTAGTCAGCTAAAATTAATTAATATTAATAAACGTGAGAAGTAAAGTAGGTGATTAGAAATGAATTCTTTTAAAGCATGTTGAATCTAAAATGATCTAACAACATAGTAAAATATTGAAAAATGTTAAATTCTTTATTAGAATTGATTCATTAACAAAACAAAAAAAAAAATGGTGAAAAACTTATTTGATGAATTTATAATGAGTTTGAAAGCATAAAATGTTAGTTTAGGATTGAATTTTAATGATCTTGTTTGAATAATGTGTCTTAAATTGATTCTTAATTCTAGGAAAAATGAGTTACGCCATCGTCACCACGACAAGAAGGAACGACTGGCAGCACAAGTGCGAGATATGAAACGACGACAACAGCAAACGGAAAACTGGCAAAATTTCAAGAGGTCATTATTCAAGCCTGTAACAATAGGAATAGGTATAATAGGTGGGGGTGTTATCGCGATCTGTGGTTATTTCTATTTTCGGGGCTAAATCATAAAAATTATATTCTTTTAAAAAATGACAAAAAAACCATAAAAACAGCCGAAAATGAAAAAAAATGGTTTCGTGGATCAAATTAAATCGAGCTTTCATTTATTTGGATAAAAACACCTACAAAAGATCATACAATGAATACCCAGAAAAAACAAAATAGAAATTTTCGATAAAAGAAAAAATGATTTCAACTAATTGTGATCCACGTATTTGAGTGAATATGAATAAAAGGGAGGAACTGAAATAGAAAAGAAATAGAAGGACATGATAAAATGAAAAGATAACGGAGTTTACGAACGCAAAAGTAAGAATTTTCGTGTTTGTATTTTTGTATTGTGATCCGTATGAGTCTGTAGAGTATGTAGAGAGTAGTTATTTTCTACAGATGATTTTCTCTTCAAGTAATTGAACAATTAACAATAATTATTAATCTTAAAAGAAAAGGAATTCTTTCGCGCACGAATAAAAACATTTTTATAGTTTTATAATCAATGAAATATTTTTTTTAGTAATTTCGGAGTATAGAATTCGTGATTATTTTTTTATGCCACATAAAACATATTAGTTCGTGCTATTTTTTTATTACCATATTCAATTGATTTCAATTCAGGGAAACGAAGTTTTAGTTTTTCAATCATTGATGATTTAAATGTATAATGAAAAGATGACTTAATTAATTATTTGTGTTCAGTTAAAACAAAGAAAAAGTAAAAAATTTTTTCTTATTATTATTTAAAACAAAATTACTTACATTTAATGATGACAACTGAATAATCATTATTATATTAGTCATTGTAGAGAAAAATTGATAGTGTGATAGGATTAGATTTGGAATAGTAAATTTTGTATGGATCTTAGAACATACATAATTGTTTCCCATGGGAAAAAAATTAATCGTTTAACCCAATCATTATTGAATTAAATATAATCGCCTAGAGACTGATCTTTCACGAATTGATTTGTTTAATTGTTGATATGAAGCTCATAAATTGATTTAAAAAAAGAGGCTGCAGTAAATATAGATAAATTTTTATTCAACATAGATGTTTTCGTGCTGTTCCCAATTGTTAAATAATACACAAATACAATTGTATAATTTGTTATTTTTCCTGTAATATTAAAAAAAGACATTCCGTATGCCATCAAATGCCCAAAATATGAATAGTAATTAAAAGGTGAACGTTTTCATAAGAAATACGGTGCTAGAGTTGTAGAAACAAATCATTTTGATTTTAAACAAATGGCAGATAATAAGAATGTGCTAAATAAATAGTTTAAGTGAGAATAAAGAGTGCAAAAAGAATAGGTTAAAAGGATAAAAATCATGATGGAAATTTTTTAGATAATAATTTAATGAATAATACTTTAATACGTTATTTTGTACTGAAATGTTTAAATTTCCCACGTAATATTCACCCTGATGCTTAAATATCATCCTTAATTATTGTTTAGCTAAAAAAAAAGATATTAAAACATAGAAACATAGCTAAGTGCCTACTCGTACAAAAAAAAACGTTGCATAACTGGAGAAAAAATTTCATAATTAATTTATAAACGATTGTCACAAGTATTTAAAGCAACTGAGGTGTTTTATAGTGCAAAATGTGGATTATAACTTTTATAACACTGAAAAAAAAATTAGAGTAGATTTTATCAAATTTTACATCACTTAATACTTTTTTTTTATTCAACTTTTTACTACAATAGATGTTTATATGGATTAAATTCCTCCGTTTAATCCGTTTTACTTATAAAATGTGAATAATTGTGTATAATCTTTCCGTAATTATCGTGACTAGCGTCATTAATTTTATCTACAGAAATCACTTCCATTATTTCATTCATCTCTCATTATGAAAATATTAAAATAATAATAGTAATGATAATAATAATGACGTTCAATAATTATATTAATAATAATTATAATCACAGTAAATCGCGTCATTCATTCCAATTAGCATTTCTATTAATCTCACAAATTCTTATTATGCATAAGTTTTGAGTTAATTGATGAATTTTTGAATTAAGTAATTAATTGAAAAAATAATAATACAGTAAAAATGAAAGAAATTAACAATGAATGAATATGGAACGGCACGAAATTTTTACATATATTATTAATAAATGATTGAAAAAAAGCAAATAAAAATAAAGAAAGTCTTCAATAAAAAATTATTAATAATAAAGAAGAATTAAATAATTTTCAAATAATTATATTATTTTCATTATTATTGAGAAAGTGAATATTTTTTTGTTTAATACCCAAAAACGGGATTGGGAAGATTGGTTTATAATGAAAAAAAAAAAAAATAACAGTAATCTAGTAAGAAGTTCTGAATTAATTAGAAGTGAAATTAAAAGTTGTTCTTTTAATTGTATATCACTGTGTGTGATAAAAAGTAAATTGGGTTTATTTATGTAATATATTATGTAATATAAAATTTATATTATGTAATATAAATCTAAATTATTTATATTCCTATCTTCCCATTTTTCTAATAATGTTAATAAATTATTATTAGGATTTATACTGAAAAAAGTAAAAAACTAAGGATCATATTTTATTAAATAAATTAATTTCAGATCAAAAAGTGAAACAACGGAATCGAGCGAGTCTGTTCATGAGGAGGATGAATCTACGTAAAAGAAGAACTTAATTTCTCCATACTTAATAATCATCATCAATTACGATAATTATTTATGTATATCAAACGATTAACGCACAATTGATGATTTTATCAGTTAATGAATTTTCTCACTGGCAGCGAAGACGCTGGTGTTTATATATCTTTATATATGACTATATTTATTTACATTTAATATACAAATGAGCAATAATTAAACACAAAATTAGCAATAAATAAGTAAAAATATTGAAATGATTTTTATGATAAAAAGTCAAATTTTGAAATTAATAAATCAATTTTTTCATTAAAATTTAATTAAAAAATCCTGCTTCTTCGCCTCGGTCGAGCTCAAAATCCTTTTTTTTTTTTAATTTGAATTTTCAGAAAAAGAAAAAACAAAAAATACATGGAAAGAAAAAAAACATGTACTACTTGAAATTGCCTTGATAGTCAGTTATTATTGATGAAAGACGTCAAAGTTTTAATTTTCCGAGCAATTTTTTTACTTTCTATTGTAACTATCTAATTAATGAGCTGCTTGGAGCATTGGATTTCTTTCTCAATCAGCGTTAAACACGCTGGGTTATGGTGAGACAGTCCACAAGGACTTCTTTGGTCATTGTCCTGATTCTATTTGTAGCATTTAACATCTTATCAATGGTTGAGGGTAAAAGACATCAGGTACGTAATCAGTGCCAAAATAATCATGAATCTCATCAACATTGTCCAAATCCTAAGCATCATACCAGAGCAAATAGAAAAAAAAGATCTGATTTGTCAACAATGAATCCTATGTTATTGAATAAAAATCATACTTTTAATATTTTCTATGATAATTCAAAGTTTGATGAAAGGGATATTCCTTTTTTACGTCAAATGTACCATGAAAAACCTTGGAAAAGTGAAAGTAAAAGAGAAAATTATTTAGAAGACCTTGAGAAAATTTTTGGTCGCTTTCCACAGGATGTACATGTAGAAAGAATAGAGAAAAGTTTAGGGCCTGCAAAAAATTCCAATAGAAACTTTCTAAATGAAAATATTCAACAAATTTTGAATAATCTTGAAGAAGAATCTCCAAATCATATTCGTGTAAAACGAGACAATTCCAAGTTCAAGCAAGGTTCTTCTCCATCTATGTCATCTGAATACCTACAAAATTTAGCAGAATCTTTTGCAGGACCATCAGAAGCTGAAGAAACGCTAGATATTGATACTAAAGAGACAGACAATGATGAAAAAAACATACAAAATCCAGAAGACGTAAAAAAACGTGATGTCCATCAAAATTTATTAACAAATAGAAATAAGCACAGACCAAAGCGTGATAGAGATCCTGATGAACTTAAAATTCAGAATTATGATAACAATCACAGAAGTAAAAAAGGAGTTTCAAATTATAAAAATAACCATTCGAAAAATAAAAAAAGTCATAAAGACTCTTTGAAAATTGATTTAATACAAAGACATGCAAAAAATTCGAAAAGCAAGGTAATAAAGGAGAAACCGAATAAAGAAAAAGAGAAAAAAATAGTTGAAAAAAAAAGTATTCCAGAAAAGAAAAATAAATCTTCAAGGGGTTTAAAAAATCGTCAGCATCAAAGAAAAAACAAAAGGAACTTGAAGAATATGAAGAATTTAAAAAAAAATAAGAACAGAATTAGTAGAGAACGAAGACATAATGTAAGGGAGACTAATGATTTATATGGAAGTTTAAAGTCTTCATCATCCCTTGAAGAGATTAAAAATCTTGCTGAAAATCTCATTTCGAAGGTTTACAGAATTATATAAAACTTAAGTCAATTGAAAAGTCTTAAGATTAATTTCAATTAGCTAATCCATTTGATTTTTTCTCTTAGATTGATCATTTAGGAGAATCTATCAAAAAGCATCGAATAAAACGAAATCCTCATAAGTTATCTACGAATGTTCACTCTAAAGATAATTCTATTTCTTAAGGGTAAGTATGGCTAGTTAGATTAATTTTTTTTTTAGAGTAATCTTGAGTTTTTTTTTTTATTAGAACAAGTTTGATTTATACTCCTTACTTCTTAAATAAAAGAAAGTTTTCTTTCATTAAGATAATTAATTGAATTATTTGAAGATAGATTTTTAATTACACTAATATATTTATTTCAATTGAATATTTTTTTATAATAGACAATAAGAGATTTAATTAATTCATCAAATGGGCTCATAAAATACATAAAAAAGAAATAAAAAAATCAAAAGGAAAAAAGGTAAAAAACACACAAATAAACTGAATTAAGGAATTGCTCAGTTACTTATGGAAAAGAATGATTGATAGAATACTTTTGAAGATATGATTAAGAATTTCCAAAGATGCAGGAAAAGAAACTATCGTCAACTTTCATTTGAATATTATTATGAGTATCATTATTGTAGAATTATTTTATTATTAATATTGATTTATATATAAGCTTCTTTCGATGAATAAATTTACAAATACTAAATAAATCATTTTTTAATTTAGTTTAAATAAATAAAACACATGCATATTTGTTTTAATCATTTTATTGACTTTTTTTCGTTTGAATCACCAATTACATTTTGTTTTATACACATTTTTTATTTAAACAATAATTATTTTCAATAACGTCACAGAATATTCACAATTAACGAGTGCCTTTTGACAAAACAAAGTGTAAAACAAAAATAGCTATTAGACTTAAACGCTAAGTGTAAAATAATTATATTTACGTTTATTTCTTCAGAACTACTTCACGTTCTTAATTGTTAATTGTTTCTTTTATATTTTACAAAATTGCAGCACTATTACTTTACAAACTTGAGAAAATTTACAATTGCATTTTCTCCTCATCTCATTACACTCGTTATTTATATATTCATAATTTTCCTATCAGTTATTACAAAATTGATTATCAGTAAAAAAAAAAAATTTTGAGATTAAAAAATGAGAATAAAAAATAGATATTCAATCACTTTATAAAAATGCCAGAAGTTAACAGTTTATTTGTTCCTTTCGTTACTTGTTTATTTAATTTATTATTTTTTCTTACTATCAGATAAATTCTGTAAACTTTTTATTTACGAATATTCTGTGAAATTCGACCCGTCGAATTGTAACACAGTCGATCAATTAAGTAGATCCATTTTTTTCATATCTAACTTGTTAAACATAAAAACTGCGCAAAAATGGCAAAAGTTTGTCTACCTATAGAAAGCTTATAAAAATTTTCAATTATTTAGTTATTAATTAATTATTGCATTGAAAAAAGGTCTACAATCTCATTTAATCTTATTTTACTTTCTATTCATTTTATTTCATTAAATTATTTATCAATAACGTGTTTTTTTGTAAATCAAATATATTTTGCTTTATTAATAGGCAGTACAAAATTGCAGCACTAAAAAATCTTGGACGATTCGGAAAAATATCACCTAATATTTTTTTTTTTAATTTGAGCTTGAATTTATTTGTTAAAAAAAATTTATGCTAGTTTCAATTTCACTTTTATCTCAAAATCATCAACATCATGTCGGGCTATTTAAAGCCACGGTATTTTCCAACAATTCCACCAGCAATAGCTCTAACATCTCTATCAGGATCATGTTTCATCATTTTAATAACATTATTTATTTTTTCTATTTGTTCTTCACTCAGACAATTCCTAATATTAACAACTTGCGTTGTTAAAGTCCTGACTACAACAAGTCTAACATTCGGAACAGCATCCTTTGAATATTCTAACAGTTCTGGAAGCAGTGTTTTTGCAAATTTTTCACCACTTATCGCTTCTTTAGTTATCAACGATGCACATAACAGTGCAAATGTTTGTCTAAAATTCCATCGGCTTTCGTTAAATACCAACAACAACCTGAGTTTTTTAATTATGGCAGTACTAAGCTCTTCATCGTTAGATAAATAAGAAAAGATTTGAGTCACGAGGTTCAAAGCCACGTGTCGAACAGCTGCTACTTTATCGCAAAGAAGGGTAAATGAAAGTGGTACAATGTGCTTAGAAACATCAGAAGTACCATAAAGAGGAATAGTTTCAAGTAATTTACATGCCACTTCCTTTCTGAATCTCCAATTCCACTCGTTATCCATCGAAAGGAATGCTTCAAGTCGGGGTAAGAATTGACATCGATCTTCTGGCTTTAAAACCATTAAAAACGTGGCCAAATGTTTTAAAGCACCAATTCTAACTTCATCAAGATCTTTAATAAATCCATCGTAAATAGGCAACAGATCCTGAGCTGATAATTCTTCACCAAGAATCATAGCAACTTCGTGAATACTTGAAGCCATTGTCCTTCTTACTTTGTACTCTCTAGCGTCCGATAAATATTTATAAGCAGTCTTCAGCATCGGCCAATTTTCTTTACCAAGAGTTAATACAACTGCTGGAAAATAAAATGCACAATATCGAGGAATTTCTATACTACCCCATGTTAAATCCCAACATGCTGAAGGATCTGCCATAGATACAAAGAAATTTATAAGAATTTGGGGTACAATTGTTTGACCATTTTCATCAATTGATTGTGTGACTATAGTAGTATTTAAACTTGTAGAATTATCTGGATCTGATGAGAGACTTGAAACATTAACTGTGTCATTCAAATGATTCCATGCTTCTGATGTTGAACAATTTTGACTATTGATTGACTCATCTCCGTCAATGTTTTCTTGATTTCTTATATGACTGTCTTCACTTTCACTACACTTTTGGTCCACATCACTAGATTTCAAGCTCTGTTCCGTAGTCTCCTCAGTTCTTGAAGATACTTTATTTCGTTGTTCAGAATTAGAAACAACTATTAATGGTACTGTGATTTCTGAATCATGATTCTGATCACCGTTAATAGATTTTTCAGTGCTTCCAGATGCATCTGACGTCTTGGAATCGTTTTTAATTGATTCTATGAGATCATTATCTAGAGGTAAGTCAGGTGAAATGTAATAGTAAAGGAATGAATTGAATTGATGATAATCTTCAGTAGATGAGTCGTCAGTCTCAGTTGAATCACACCATGAAGTTGTACGATTTAGAGGCACATTTTCTTTATTTGTTTCACCAGAACTCTTTTCTCTTCTGTCTCGTTTTTCTTTCCTTTCTTTTTTGTCTTCGTCTTTTACTTTTGTTGCAAGACCAAACACCATTGCATCAGAATCCGCACATTCAGGATCATCCGGCACTACCATTCTGCATAATGCCAGTGGCGATGCTGATTCTGCAACCGATATCCTAGAATACAAAAAATCTAGTTAGAATGAATTTTTTCTTTCAGATCCTATATTTTACTAGTAATAAAATAATTGATTTTAACAAGAAGCAAAATTTTTTATGTTTAAAAATAAAATCAAATTGATATGTTGAAATTATTGGCAAAAAAAAAATTTATTTAAAGTCATTGCAAAGTTAAATGAATGTATTAATCAGCTTAATAAATTTTTTAATGTTAAGGAAAATAAAAAATACATCATGCCAATACATACATGTTATACCTGAGCTCAGTACCATGTTGATCTGTGAGCACAAGTTCTCCATACTGATTATAAGCAAAGCCTGTAAAACGTTTGGCAAACGTGGAGATAAATGGTCCGAGTATTTGGTATGCCGATAGTCTAACCCACTTGGATTCGTCTTCAAGATAATTCGCGAGAATTTGGGCTAATGTTGTTCGACGATGCTCCAAGGATACACAACATGCAACTGAAACCATTACTTCAGCACACGACTTTCTCACTGTCCAGATTTTGTCATTGCACAACTTTATGTACATTGGAAGCTATACAATTAAAATATATTTTTGTTAATAAACAAAAGAATTTTATTTATTACATATCATTTTATAAGTAATATCAAAACTTAAATAAACACTTACTAATTTTTCATACATTGTTTCTTTAGTCATAGCTGCCGAAAATTCTCCAAAGTTTATTGCGCAGAGTTTCCTTATAAAAAAGTTGACATCGCAGCAGAGCGACAGATACCTTCCCAAAAAAAGTCTCTCGGCTGTTTTTGGATCCAGTAGTGGCGCCACTTTGCTCATACCCTGAAGAATAGCATCATAAACTTAATCATTCATTCCAACATCATTTTCATCAACAATTCTTATAATAATATTATAAAACACATTAGTAAGCCTCTAGAATACTAATTTAATCAATAAGAAAACATAAAGACAAGTTTCGAGATAAATACGTTACTATATTACTTTTATCTGTAATAATAATCATTTGAATGATAGAAATAACTTTCGTAGAAAGCTTAAAATATAAGGATCTATAATAAAAGCAGGAAATAAGCATAATAGATAAAGTGCAATAGCTGATTCTTATCGTTCCGTTTCGCTTATCAAAGCTGGCTGTGATATGCGTAAAGTTCACCACATCACAACCACTCTGATAGGCAAAACAGTCGATGATTCTTTGCATCAAAAAATGCTTTAGATGAAGAAGAGAATCCAGCTGTATCCAGTGGCAGAATATCGTGGGAACTCCATGACGTGGGTATGTGAGGAAGGTCGTTTCCAAGGAAATCTATCTAGATATGTGTTATAAGTTGAAGAGCAAGAGTTTACTCGTAGTCTAGGTAAGGGTTTGCAATTCAGTATCGAGGGAAGTGAGGAGTAAGAAGTCTTCAAGCTGGTTAGGGCCTTGAAGAGTAAAACAGTAAGACAAGGAGATACCACAAGGTCATTCACCGCTGCTGATTACCGTATTGGGAAGAAGTAGTAATCAGGATGAATTCCCCAACAAAGTGAAGAAATGTAAAAAAAAAGTTCTTCAAATAATTAACTTTGGATTTTAATTCTCTTTCAACTTCTGTACTTCATCTTCTTCCATCATTTTTCTTATTTTCACATTTAATAAATACATACAAATTTTCACCATTCATTTTTTCGTTGATTTTCTCGGATTTTGAGTGCCGCAACGCTCATCAAAGCTGGCTGTGATATGATCTTATATTTGACATACAACAGCCACTCTGTGAGCGATGCAGTCATCATTCACTTCTTGATAAAAGCTGCTGCCCATGTCTTCTTCGATATTAGAAAAATTCATTAGTTTCAGTCTTCTTCAATTAAAAACACATATCTTTTACATTATTTTATTTTAAACTTATTTAAATGATACGTAGCTGTTGATAAAAACACCGATCCAACTTGTCAAAAATGGCTGTGATATGAAATAATTTAATAACAACACGTCACAACCAATTTGACGATTGGATCGCGTTTCGTCTACCCTCTCTCTTTTAAAGATAGTTTTCTTGAATTATAAAATAAACATTACAAAACTTAATTTAAGACAATTGTTTTCATTTCCAATTTTTAAAAAAATAAAATAATCTATCTATCACAATAATTTAAATAATCGATTATTATATGATTTTTATATTATATTTTTTTTATTTATAAAAACTATTGATGGAATCTATTGATGATCGATTCTGCGAGCCGACCTCATCAAAGTGGCTGTGATATGACTCGAAACATTCCACAACCAATTTGATGTACCGGACCACAAATGGTTTACAATTAAAACTCCTGGAAAAAGCTTTTATTAATTTTGTTTTTGTTATTCTTGTTCTTTTTATTTTTTTATTCACTGATGACTATTGTATTTTTTCTTGATAAAATAGATATCCTACCTTCAATCTGAATCTCTTCCGCTTTTCCTAGATGAAGTCGGACACAATTTTGCTCATCAAAGCTGGCTGTGATAGTCGATCTCTATAACAAACCGGCTTTGACGGTAAAAGCATGCCCTTTTGCGAGTATTCATTACTTTTATCAATATTTTCAGAACACGTACAATCACTTTTTTTTGTGCTTCAACACTTCTAAAATTCATTAAATGTTAATCTCTTTTATTCATCAATTTTTTAATAACAAAAACTATTTTTATGGTGCTACTAACAAACGCCACATGAAAGACAAGGTAGTGAGACGCGAATAGACGCAAGAACATCTCACTACCCATGTCTTTCACACGGAATTTGCTTTCATGACTTTTTAAAAATGAATAAAATTATTATAATAAATTTAATAAGCAATAGAAACTACTTATAAATAAATTTTTAAACGTCTGGGAAGCTTCAATTAACACTTACATCCAAAGCAAAATTGAAGTACTCCAGCTTCGAAGGGTCCTGAGTCATCATAAGGAGTGTTGGAGCAACCACATTCTCGATCGATTCTTTAACGAGAAGGCCACGTTCTATGAGTGCCAACAGAGCTGCATGTGTTGATTGTCTTACCTGGTGACATTTTTTATAATTAATTCATCAATCTATCATTATAGATTAAATAAGTAGAATTCATATCAAATACAAAGTTAGATTATTATGCCAAAAATTAATTTGCAAGTTAATGTTTTAGAAAAAAAAAATAATTTTCAATTTTTTTATAAACTTTTTTTAATGAGAAAAAAAAAAAATTAAATTACCTGTTGATCAGCGTCATGGTGGAAACTGACAATAATGTGAATAAGATGGTTGGAAAGAACATCTCCGAACCTCTCTGGCGCTTCTTGGCATATCATAGCAACATGGGGTAGCTGTTCGACTAGTTCTAGCCTGACGTTGGCGTCTATTTTTCCAGAAACAGAAAAGAAAGCATTCAATATTATTCAAAACTATTTTTTTTCTTGTATAGAAATTCAAAAATATGGAAAACAAAATGAATTTTTGAATATTTTCCTATTTTTCTTCCAAGTTTTGAAGTATATATTATTGTTTACTAATTCAACTTTAATGCATTTCTTTGGCAAGAAAACTTTCAAATAATGTAAGTTTTAGTTATTCTATTATTCCAAAATATGAAAATCGCATTAATGGTTATTTTATCACCAAATAATTTAACGTTAATGATTCTTAAAAATAAAAACAATAATATCTAGATCAGATATATCAATACAAATGTATTTTCAACAAGAAATATAATCACATAAAGTTTTTCATTTCCACGAAAACCAAGTTTTATGATATTCAAACTTTCAAAATTCATGAAACCGCACTGATATTTTCATAAGATTAGAAAGTTTGGGACAAAATAAATTTAAAAATATGTATTACTTATCAACAAAATATTTAGTTTATATATCTAAATTAAATAATTTCGAAAAACACATTACTCAAACGTTTTTGTAGTTTACCGAAATATTTCAAGTACCTTTTGAACAACACCCAAACGGTCAGCGTTTGTCGACCGGAAATAACTTTTCAGAACCTTATCCCATGGCTATTCTTTCGCCGTCGTTCTTTCCGTTTTAATTTCAAACAAATATACATTTTCTTCGCGTAATCCCAGTACTCAATAAACATCTCACACTTCTTCAAGATTCTGATTAATCGACCCATGTTAGAATAATAATAGCAAACTCAACACTTGGAGGAAATGCTAGAAAAGCGTCCGATGCGGTTGATGGCGTGGGTGCAACTAACCATTTGCATCTGCAGTGGAAAATGTTGCACCTTTGGTTGCCGGAGGCGTTTGGGCCTGGAAAAGGGTCCTATCCCCACCATTATTTATGTTGGAGGAACAGACATGACAGGACTGAAAAGCTTAGGCCATAATTTTCAGGAAAATTTACTGTTTCTTCATCCCTTCAGACGCTTGACGTGGCACACGTGCTGTAAAAGCATTTCTTCCCGCTTTTTTCACGCTCCCTTTTTTTCCTCTCCCTCTTTTAGCTTTTCTATAGCTTTCCTCATCTGCTCCAGGTTAAATATTGGAACGCGTGCTCAATTCTTTTGGGGGCGAAACACGGCTGTCGAATTCATCCCTGATGATTACATACATACTGCTTGCAGCTTTCAGGATACTCTTCAAGGGGAGGAAAAAGTTGCTAGCTGCTGCTGTTATATACTTGTGATGTTACTGCTGCTTTGCAGCCGATGGTCATCAATCATCATAGACCTTATCTTCAACTTCCTCTTTTCTCCTTCTAGAGTGTTCACTCCTCTTTTGGACTAAAAATAAAATTATTCTACGTTCTATCAATTTATTAATGTTTTTCCTAAGATTTCTCATTTATTTTTTTTATTTATTAATTTTCAACTTTAATAATCAATTATTTTTTAACATCAGCATCAACTTGATGGACTCATTTCCAATTATTTTGCCCAAATTTTCCATCATGATATTTCAAGTTCCAATGAAACAAAATGGCTTCGTATGATAGATTTTCATGCAAAAAAATTTTAATAAATAATAAAATATTGGGATGAATTTTTTTGGGCAATTGTTAGTGGATATTAATGCTTGAGAGATGTATGAAAATATTTTAAGAAAGGTTGTTTAATGGCTGAAGATCCACCAACACATAAAATGTCATCAGGGGCAATAGTTAATGCCACTCGCGTTCGCAGGGGATCCAAAAATATTCAAGAAGAAATGTAGAGGGTGATCTTCCTCCTTCTTCCGTTCAAGTATCTTTTTCTGACTCTAGATAGAAGCTGGCACGTGTCATCAAGACCAAAGATGCGTTTTTTCCTTCATAGGAAGTCAACTAAAAATATCATCCAGTTCGAACCCTAATTCCTTTTGTCCTCCGGATGTTCATTGCAACGTAATAGGCTTTCTATTGATCCTATATGGTCTTCCCTACTTTCTTCAGTCTATTTTAATAACTTATCTCAACTGTTTGTTATTTACTGTATATATAACATACAGGTTGTGATTAATATTTTCTCACTTTTATTAAAGAAATCATTCTTCTAAATTTAATAGAAATTTCTGGCAATCATTGTTGGGCAGTTTTGATACCTTTTTTTGTAAAAAAAAATGTATTTTTATTTATTGAAACTAAATTGATGTATTTTATTGTTATTGAATTCAATAGAATTACATGTTTGATTCAAAGCAAAAATAATTTACAGTAACATCATGGGGGTTTTCTAAGGTAAAAATACTCATCTTGTATTCCATTTTGTCTTGTTCTTAAGATCTACGTACTTATACTTAACTTCCGGTGGCACACGTGGCCTTTAATGGAAGTAAAGAAGTCCACCATCATTTTAAAACTTTTCTACAGACTTTTTTCAAACTTATTTTTAACATAAAATAACTTTGACACATTTAGAAAACAAAAAAAAAAAAATTTTCAAGTATAATAGAACTAAAAGAAGAAAGTAAATGAAGAAAAAAAATAAAATTCTTAAGTTAATATAAAGACTTTGAAATTAAGCTCAACTTAAGACTAGCATAATAACGAATTTTTTTTTTTAAATTTATCTATTTATAGACAATCAATTTCCAAGTGCGGTAAAAGTGCAGTAATTTTTCTTTCAGATGCAACTCTATTATTTATTATGCATCTTTGGCGATTTGCAATAGTTTTATGTGCAATGGTGTGAATTATCCAGATGTTTTCCTGATTGCAGTGTATTTTAGTGCGTGATTAAGTTGTAGAAATAGTTTATTTAGTGTGAAGGATTTGACACAGTTTTTTATTTTACTTCAATCCTTCAACACTTCAATGATACAACAGGATGTGAGAATTTAAAAAAATTCTTTCTTGTTTGAAAAATAGTTTGAGTAATATAAAAAATATCAACAGTCATGAAAAACTTTTCTAGAATTCAGAACAACTATAGTGCGAAGTTTCATTAAAGATGGATGCTAAGATTCATGATAGCAATAAAGTAAAGAAAGTTTTTATCCTTGTTTTATTTTTCACGTTGTTTTCTCTTTTCTCAATCAGTACATTATTTTTTATGTTTATTTATATTTTTTCCAAGTATCTAGTGCTTTGAATGGGTGACTTATGTCTCGTATTCGTGACTTCCGTTGTTAATGAATATTATTATTGATTAAATCACCGAGTTGGGTGTTTGTTAACTATTCTTCGTGAGTTTTTAAAACAAATGGTTGGGGGAAAATAAAAAAAAAAACGAAAAAAAACGTTAGAAAACTCACCTGTGTCGTAGACTAATTTGTGAACGGGCTGCATCACTTCCGCAACATTTAGGTCTGTTCCGTTGTCTACTGCACTCCGGAATATTTCTACTAGGATTCGTCCAACAAGTTGTCTATAACAAAAATGATAAATAATTATTAGTTAAATTCACTAAATAATATTTCTGAACATTAAACATTTTTTTCACTTTCATAAACCAATAAATAATATTCATTAATAATAAAAAAAACTTCAATGCTTGAAATTATCTAGATAAATATTTCTCAAAATGGCGGCAAGTCCATGGTATGTTTTTTTTTTTCGTTTATTAATATTAATAAATAATAAAAAATATTTAGTTATAAAAAGATATAATACACTTAAATTTAGTTAAATTTTATTGATAATAATACAAATTTATTTACCAAGAAAATGAAAAACATGTTGAAATGTCTTAAGAAAGTGCGTAGTGACCAAAAAAAGGGACGACGGAAGGATTGGTGTGGCGATCGAAAAATCCAAAAAATTACGACGTAAATAGATGCGTAGTATTTACCCCACCTTGGCGTGTTTCCACATATGTGAGAAGGGGTGTGATGGAGTGGGAGAAGTCAGCTTGGACGCGATATGATTGGACATCAGTCTTGCTGCACAGTCAGTCAATCATGAAGGTGGGAGATACGCAACAACACGAGTCGCGGATGAATTTACCGCGCTTCCATGACTTGACGCCACGCCTACGATACCCGCGCAAACATGGCCGCGCCGCTTTCTCGCAACGTCGCGCTTCTTTTCTGTGTCCCTTTGCTTCTTCAACTTAAAGTGCGCGGTACTTTTTTCAACTGTTTAAATTAAAATAACTGTAGAAAATTAAATCAATGTCAAGGAAAATTAAAAAAACCTTCACTCTTGCTTCAGTCATTTTTGTTTTTAAATATTTCTAAAATACTTTAGCATCATTTTGTTAACTCTTTCACATGATAATTGTTTCAATATAATTTTAAATGTGATTTTATTAATAATTTAATTTATTTAACCTTTTTACAGCTTTAGAAATAATTAGTCTTAGATTTAAAATTTTTTATATGAAAAAGGAAGCAATTGTTGTTAAATTGTGATTGAATTTTTTAGACTTTTGGACTTGGCTGGATTTATTTTACTTATTAAAATGTGAAGTATTTTTTATTTATTGAAATAAACTAATTAAATGTTTATCGTTGAAAACAGACTGTTAATTGTTTTTTCAAGTGGTAAACCAGAACTCGGTTGATCCAAAATGAGATTTCTTCTTGTTTTTATCAATAAATTTGTAGATACATACTTGAATAAAAATATATTCCTTTTTATTTTAGGATAAAGCATTACCTAGGAAACTCTGTACGAAAGTTTAATTGAGTTTCTCCATCACAATAAACCAACAACTATGAACTCAGCCAAAGTGTGAGAGAGATTTAGGTTAAGGGTGAAGGGAAAAAGAGAATTGATAGTGCTTTTGGGTTGTGTTAGTGACCCAATCGATAATTCCTTGAAATTCGATCGAAGCCTTGTAAAACCTGAAGACCCTTAATCCACCCTAGGATACTACTCGGTTGCTGCTAACTATCGTTACACTATAAATAATTAAAATAGTTGGATCTTCTGTTACATGTTACCACCTCATTAAAAAAAAATCACCAACGACAGTTTGATGGTTGACATTTGGGAGTTTGAGTGAACAAAAATTTATCCACAGTAAGAAAATAATATTTATTTAATTAAAAAAAAAAAAGGGTTTAAAATATTCGCGATAAAATATTTTATTGAATTTATTTATTGATTTTGATATTTAAGGAACAATCGTGATAAGTTTGAATACGTCTACATTTTTCAAGCAAAATTTTTTTAATAAGAAATAAAAAAAATCATATTCGAATGTTTTTAAAGATGAAAAAAAATGTTTTGCTGATTATTTTAATGAGTAATAGTTATTTTCTAAGCATTAATGATATTGTTGTGCAGAACTTTATCAAGTTGTTCAACAAATGGACGTTTTAGTGATCTCCAGATGTAAAACATTAATTTATTTATTTTCCTGATCAACTAATTGAATTAAACCAAGAATAGTAAATTAAGCTAAAACATATCAATCGACGTAACTAAAAAGCTCTCTCCTAAATGATACTTTTCCACAAGTCATCGCTTTCATCTGTCTAAAGCCAGGTGTTCTAACAAACAATCAAATTTTTAAGAATAATTGACGCATCTGTCATAGATTTTATCCATTAATCTACTCGTCAGTACAACAGTTGCAGAAAATAATAGTAAAAGATAGGATAAAAACATTTTCCAATATTTCTAAAACTATTGGTGAAACTAAAGAGGCAATGAGTGCTAAGTTGAAGCAAACTTTTAAGTTAAAGATGTTAGAGAAACATCTTGAAACAAAGTGAACTGATCAACCTCAAGATCAATCAACTGGTGAACAATTGAACATTGAAAAAAAATTGTGATCCATTGAAATTAATTCTACAAACTTTAGTTTTCCATTTTACTATAAAACTTTGTCAAAGAGAAATGCAATTCATTCTCAACTAAGCAACATTTTTTGTTGCTAAACATCAAAGTTATTTCTTTTTCTCGATAAAAAAAATTGTTTAAGCAAATACTGAAATATTTTTATGATTGTTTGTTAAAGGTGATAAAAAAAGTAAGCAAAGTTATATCTATATTACAAAGCAAAAACAATATTTTTTGATAATTTTTTCAACTTTGTCCATCCATTAGTCTGTTCAATCTGTCAACATGAGATTCCATGGCAAACTGTATGAAAAGTTCTTACCTGTAGCTCTAATGTATACTTAAGGATGCAGATAAATAAAAAAAATAAGGACACGAAAAGGAGGAATATAGTCGTTTGGAAAACTATAAATCAATAGAAGCCGCCTAAGGATAGGACAGGTGCAAGTGGAAAAGACATCGGCTTAGCCGGAACTAATACACCTCTGGATTAAAGCTCAGAGAGGAGGTCGACAAGATGCTTATACACTCGCAGAAATAAGATAGATAGTGAAGAAAACATCAGGGTTAAATAACTGAAAATTTATCAATGTGACAGCTTGTCCTGAGACTAAAGTAAATAAAGTAATTCGTTAATTCTCGCGCTTTCTCTTTATTATAAGGCTCAGTACTAAAAGTGAAAAAGTAAGAAAGAGCTACAGAACGTGCAGAAAATACAAAAGTAGGGTTTTTCTTCTTTACTTATTTGCCTATGCTTAATCTTTTTCAGAGTCTGTCGATTTTTAAAGCTTTCGACCTTTTATTTATGGTGAATGCCATTTATTTTAGGGTCCAATGAATTTTTTTTTGCTTTTTAGAGTTAAAGAAAATTTAAAAGGATTCTCAGAATATGATGAAGAAGATTGGAATTTTAAGTAATGATCTGTTAACAAAAGCAGCATTTGATATTCTCTGAAGTTGGAGGTGAAATTCAAACAAAATATTTTGCTAATTTCTTCTTTGATTGAATTTGTGAGAATTTCTAAGCATGTTAAAGTTTTTCATGGAATTTAAAATGTTAGGTAAAAGATACTTTGGTGATAGATGAATGTAATATGTAAGTTTACTTTGTAAACTTGGTATGAATGGTATCAAAGCTAGTGCAACTTACACGACAGAACAAGTATCGATATGACCTACATCTGAAAATTGAATTAATAATAAAAATGTTGCAAAATTTTGTTTTTTTTTCTGGTTTTCATAAGTGTATTCAACTTTTCTGCTGTAATACTGCTAAATAAAATATGTTGTGGTCGTTAATTTTTTAGCAATGTTAAACTTCATTGAATATAAATGAGTTGAAATCATTTGAAAATAAATTAGATGATATTATGAAATATGATGTGAATTATTAAAAAATAAAAAAGTTATTTATTTTACACTGTTGAAAGTACAGTAAAAAAAATTTTTAGTTATAGGAAATATTTTAAACATTGTCAATCACTTATCTAGATAATCTCTACAGCTATCTAATGAATTTATCTAAGGGACTAGTATTGTTCTTGCAACTATCCATTTTTTTCAACATTAATCATCAACAGATTTCTTGAAAAAAAAATATTCAAGTTGTAAATGCATTTGAGGGATTAGATAATACACTAGATAAATAAACAACAATTAAAAAAAAAAAGACATTAATACCTAGTAAATAATAAAAATTGTTATTTTATGGATGAAGTAAAAAATCATAATGATAATAATAACAAAATATTATTCACGATAATTCTAGAAGAAAAATAATTTTAAAAAAATCTTTCAATCTCAAAAAAAATATCTAAATGCAAAGTAAAACATTTTTTTTTTGGACTAAATGGCAGTTGCTGATGACGAAAAAAGTTTGAGGACCGGGAGGAATGTTGTGTTGTGGTAGAAGGCGATTGCACCTTAGGGAGAAAAGGTAGGGGAGGACATAGAGAGGGATGAGGAGGGAGGAGGAACGGCCGGCAGAAAGTCAATGTACCGCAGGAGAATGCAACGCCGCTGTTCCGATACACACTCTACTATGTCAAAATGCATTCTACCGTGGTATATAACTAAAATGCGAATGTGTAGACAGGGTATGCAGCAGTAAAATGTGTGCATGAAGTCTATAGACGGTTATATAGTGTGTTAGGGAGCCACTGGTGGAGGACAGGATGGTGATATTGTGTGTATGGGCATAAGACGCGTGTACGTTGAGTGAGGAATGCGTTTATAAGCGCGTGGAGAGTCTCGTAGGCGGTCTACTATGCGCACTGAGCTTGCTGCCACTTCTTGGAAGCTATAATGCACTCGTGAGGGAAGGGAGGGCTTAATGCGCAGTTCTCTTAATGCGGTAGAACGGGTGGTCTTTTGCTTACGATGTAAACAATCTTAATATTGTTAATAATAATAATAATATTCACAGGAAATATATTGAATATTTTTTAAAACTAATTTTTTATCATTTTTCAAGCAATAGTTTTCTAGAATAAAAAATTCAGAATTTTTTTAGTGAATAAATTTACCTGTAAAAAATTGAATAAGCTAAAGGAATTATTCAAATTACTTGAATAATAAAATTTTTAAAGTGTTTGAAAAATTTTTACTGATATTTCATAAGGTGAAAGGTTGAACATA